ATATATATATATATATATATATATATATATATATATATATATTATTAATATAATAATTTTAGTACAATTGGCGTAAAAATTCTGATTCTATTATATGCCTTACCATAATTATATATAGTACTTACATAATTCTAAACAAAGTACTAATTCATAGTCTTAATTAATACATAACACAACATAAATATCCCATAACACAACATAAATATGACAGAAAAATGAAAGGTCTGGTCTTCTTCTACAAGGCTCTTTATGGTATCTCTGACCTTAACGTCCACAACTATATGTCTCTTTTGTCACCCATAATTGTTCCCGCCTCACCCTGAATCCAAATCTGATGCTCAAGACTCCTTTATGGAACAGTGCTCAAGACTCCTTTAGTAAAATTATGGAACAGTGCTTGCAAAGTAGCTCTTCCAAATACTTTCATTATAATAATACATTTAAACATTACCTATATACTTCTTATTCTGTGTTAGTTTCTACTATATTTGATGTAAATCTGTTATGTACTTGGTCTATATCGCGTGATTGTCCTTGAGTGTGTCATCATGTATGAACTGCGATTTGTATTCAAATAGGCCTTTTCACGGTTTTCGACAACATTTTGTCGGGTAGGCAAGAATTTGCAGGCGCGCTAGCGCTCACCAAGCCTAATATAAATCACTATTGTTCTGCTACATCTGGAATATATTGTCTTGCGATGTCACAATTACATTTTAAAGTTGTTTTGATGTGGTAAAAGTACAATGAGGTGAAAGGTAAGTTTTTTTTCTACATTTTCTGCAACTATCGTCGGCGTTGCTAGTGTATCTTGCGAAATATATATATGTTATTTACCGGCTGGGATGTCCGTACTGAAAAATATTTTCCCGAGGTCTCGGAAGCGGCCCGAGACCGTAGGTCGAGGGACGCTTCTGAGACAGAGGGAAAATATTTTACAAGTACGGACCGACTTCAACGATAATAACGTATTTATTTTTTTGGTCGATGCCTTATTAAATCCTAAAAATTCCAGTGTTGCAGCTAGATTTGTTATCAGTTGTGTATGTTACTCTAATCCAAGCAATAGCATGGGTGACATATTGTTAAAACGACACGATAAAAAGCCGTCACTTGTGATGCAATATATACTTTTCTACTCAAGAAGACAATAAGGTAAAGCGATTAAAACTATTTATTTTCCTGATCGTTTTAGCCTAATAACTTGCTTCAAAAACTCATTAATAATTCATGAAGCAATTATTCAATCTTGAATAAGAAATTAGTCACGTACATACGTCTTTATACCAGCTAAAGAACACTTTAACAGAAGACCATTGTTATGCAAACTATATAAAGATTTTTATATAAAGATTTTTATATAAAGATTTTTATATAAAGATTCGACTTATTATGCATACGTGTTTGAGTACTATTTAAACAAACTGCGAGTTTTTTAGATGGCTTCAAAAACGTTTGCACAATAAGTCAAATCTTTATATAAAAATCTTTATATAAAAATCTTTATATAAAAATCTTTATATAAAAATCTTTATATAAAAATCTTTATATAAAAATCTTTATATAGTTTGCATAACAATAGTCTTTTGTTAAAGAGTTCTTTAGCTGGTATAAAGACGTATACACGTGACTAATTTCTTACTGAAGATTGGATAATTGCTTCATGAATTATTAATGAGTTTTTGAAAGTCATTTAAAAAACTTGCGGGTCGTGTTTTATTAGGTCTAAAGCCACTCGCGCTGCGTGGTCGTGGCTTTAAACCTAATAAAACACTCCTGCTCGTTTTTTAAATAGTACTTCAAAAACGTTCTTTCGACACGCAGCAACAAATTGTACTTGCCGAATACATTTGTGTTCATGACAACACTTGTAAAAATATATGACTAAAATAGGTCTAGAGATCATGTTGAAACTGTCGTTTTATAGCATTTTTTAAAATTTTTATGCTTGATTTTTATGCTTTAGTCCTTGGTTCCATGCAGTATTTATATTTTAACGTATATTTTTCGAAATATATAGCTGAATATATGCTGAGCATTTGAAACTAAACATTTATCACTGATACTTCGATACCTATATGTCAAAGAAATACTTGTTTTTTCCCCATTTAGGTCGGAAAAAAGAACATTTCGAGCTTGGCACTAACTCCATTGAAGTCAGTTCAGCTTATTTTCATCCTTAGTATCGATAGGGAGGATTTTACAACTTTTAGGATAACTTTTTTACTTTGAAAATGGTCTTCACTCCTCGTTTTGTTTTGGCAGGTTTACGGATCTGGGATTACGGACCGGAAAAAGCATGACAGTAAATTCAGA